AAAGCTTCCAGTGGTCTAAAAATAAAATTCATTTACAATTCAGCATTGGCCCCCCGCCACCTGTCCCTGCCTGCCGACCACACTTGTCCTCAAACACACCCCAGCCTCCAGGCCTCGGTACCTTGGTTCCTCTTCCCTGAAATACTCTTGGTCCTGGTACCAGAAACCCATGCTTGTTCCCCATTTTCACTTGGGGCTCTGTTCAAATGGAAAACATTTTGCAGAGAAGCCCTGGCTGACCTCCCAACCTGAGCCAGCCACCAACCCCTGCTCGTCTCTCTCTCACCCCTGTCCTGCCTGTCCTTCAGGGCACCTTTGGTTAACCAAAAGTCCACACTTTTGGTGAACCACCTGTCTCCCCCACTAGAACATGCTATCCCTGGGAGCAGGAGCTTCTTCCTGGATCCCTGCGACTAGAACAATGCCCCCACAGAGCAGACACTCAAAAAATGAGAAAGAATCTGACACCAAAGTGCTGGCTCCTCTCACTGCCCCAGATCAAGCAAAGAAGACTCATCACCATGTTTAACATAGCGTGCACTGTAACGTCTACAACCCCCTCACTGCACCCTGTGAGTGCCGTATCTGAGCCACTGATCATTTTGAAATGTATGTATTTGTGCGGGATTATAATTCCCTACCAGACTGGGAGCTCCGGAAGGTCAGGGCCCTGAGTCGTATGTAGCCCTTGAAATCTGGCAATAGAGTGTTGAACAGCATTTGGTAAATCTTTTGGTCACTAGCCAAAGAAGATAAATTTCAAAACCAATGGCAGAAGTTTAATTTCTCTGTTCCTAAATGTAGCAAAGGCACCACCTTCCATTCTACTGCTTTGAAAAATGCCTCAGCCCCATTTCCAAGGGAGCCGAGTCACAGTCAACCCTTGGAATTCCTTGGGTTGTGAGCTGTGCCAGGGGAAGCTCCTTGCAGAATGGAGTTTGCCAACTGAGCCCAGAAAACCTGTGTGAACAGCAGGCACACTTAAAGCAGCACTTGGTGAAACTGCTTCCTGTTATCTCGGGGAGACAGGAGCATGAGAGGCTGACTTAAGGAGAAAACGCCTGGAGTGTAAGTGGGACCTGACATCACTCCCTCACACATACACATCCCCCAAAAAAGCCTCCAAGGGCCGCCCCTCTATCTACAGGCTGCGCCGTGGAGTTGAGCCCCTTCTCACGGTCTGCTCCCTCACTCCAGCACACCCTCCCTGTCCTTATTCATGTTGTTGTCTTTGTCTGCCATGCCCTTCCCTCCTCCTAGGAGCGGGGTGCTACCCTGCCCATTCTGCAGGAGCACCCCCCTCTGTGAAGCCTTTTTCCACCTCTCCTGTCCTACCACCCTTTCCTCTGACAGAAAACACTCTGTTCTGAGCTGCGGGTGTCAGCACTGACCCTACCACTTGATCCATCAAAGCCTCAAGCTGGAGAAGATAACACGACATGCCCTCAGGGGACTTAGGGTCTAGTTGGGGAGACCAAGGCAAACAAATACATTGCAAGCTGGGGGAAGGGCTCAGAAGGAAACACGGTTCAGTAAGAGACACTGCACAGCCAGGTAGAGACGGGGGAAGCCAGAATGGGTGGTTGGGGAAGGCTTCTTAGAAGAGATGGCATTAAATGAGTACCTGAAAGATGAGTATGAGTGAACCAAGCAGAAGTGGGGAGAAATTACCAGAAACAGGGCATAGCACATGTGAAGATGTCATGGCCTGTAAGCGCCTGGCATTACCGAGCACCAAAAGGAGGGCTGGGAGAGCGGCATGAGGGGAGGAGACCAGCCTTCTAGAAGGTCCTAACCACCCTGAATCACCATTCTGAGACTTGCTTCTCTCATCCTGTTTCTCTCTCTCCCCGCCTCAGAAGGGCTGGAGTACATGTGACTCCTCTCTGTCTCCAGGGCAGAGCGAGACACCTGGCACTCGCGAGCATTCAGCAAGTTCCTGTGGGTGGTACTGTCCCCAGCCATGCGGGTGAGCTACCTCTCTGTCTGCCCGCTCCCCACCCCCAAAGCCATTCCCCACTCAGCTCGCCTAACTGAAGCACCCAGGGATGGTTAACCACAGACTGCCGACAGAAACAGAGGATGAAGCAGGAGCAGCTGCGAGAGCTACGGTTACGTCCTCGGTAAACACCACTGACAACCCCGTTGGCAGATGTGACCACCGCATGGTCCTCGGAGACCAGATTCTCAGGGTAAACTTCAATCAGATGGCAACTCTAGTACAAGAGGGCCTGCCAAAATCACACGCCCTGAGACAGACTGTCAGCATGAAGTTCAAAACCGTTTCCAAGGTCAACTGTTTTTAGTCATGGTACTTCTGACAATGAAATGCATGGGTTTTTTTCCCTCCTCCACCCAATAAGTCTCTGACTGTCCAGACACGAAATGGGTGTCCTACAAATCAGTTTTCAATACTGACACTAACTCCCAGTATTTAAGGACTTGGTCCCACAAGACTGCCCCCCGCTTCAGAGGCTAATCCAATGTTCCAGGTTGCCACTTGGACCTCTGACCAACCAGCTATAACTTCCACAATCCTTTCCTCAGGTTAAATAATTACTAGAATGAATGGCTCACAGAAACTCAGGAACGCACTTTAGCTACTATTACTGTTTTACTGATGCAACTCAGGAACGTCCAAATGGAAGAATTGCACAGTGCAAGGTCAGGGGAGGGCCATGGAGCCTCCTGGCCCTCTTTGGGCACGCTGTCCTTCCAGCACCTTCGTGAGTTCACCACCCTGGAAGCACTCCAAACACCCATCGTTCAGGTGCTTTTATGGATGGGTTCCATTATGCAGGCCGGAATGACTGAATCATTGACTATCAGTGATTAACTCAATCTCCAGTTCCTCTCCCCTCCCCGGAGGTCAGGAGGGGTGCTGAAAGTTCCAACACTAATCACATGATCGGTTCCTCTGGCAACCAACCTCCACCCCGAAGCTATCCATAGGTCACTTTGTTAGTCTAAGCTCTGATGTGGCTGAAAGGGGCTTGTTAGAAACACCAGAAGTTACTCTGACCATTAGAGAAATTTCAGGGGTTGGCAGAAGTTTTGGGGGGGGACAAAGACCAACTACATACTTCTTACTCTGTCACACGAGGTTTAAGTAGTTTCTTGATTTTTTTTTTTCTCCTTAAAACAATCCAGAAGATGAGAAGACAACCTGGTGAGTCAACAGGAATTTCCAAGTTGCCCAACAACCCTGCCCTGTACCTCCCCTGATAGGTTAGCCCCTGACCCACCCAGAGCTCTATCATTTTCAAGGACACACTCATAATTCTTCAAATCACACTTTGAACCCTTGCTTTCCGGCTAATGAGTTTTGATTTTATTCTAAAATAGTTAACTATGTGGGCTAAGCTAACCTATGATTTTTAAGTCTTTTGGGAAAGAAAGGGGACTATAGGGATGTCACATGTAGTTTGAGGGCATCTTCTGAAGAGTTAAGGATCATTTGCCTAATCACATAAACCACTGTCCTCTCTGCTCTTTCCATTTCTTGTTGGTATACCTATTCTTAAAGTCCTATACTATCTTTTTTATGGTAGCTCTGCATGCTTCCCCCTAGTGAGGGTAGAAAAGGACTGCAGATACCTTCCCGTGAAATCCTAGTTGTCTGTTACATGAGGCTTTCACAGGTGCTATGCCCTCTTTGAACAAATTTCTTTCTTTATTCCTGTCCCGATAACTCTTTGTCCTCTGGATCTCACTTTATGCCATTTCTTCAGAAAGCCCTTCCCTTCTTTACTCACCCAACCCAAATCAGGCTCCTATTACTCTCCCATAATATCATGTCACGACATTTGTCATGATTGGTTATTATACATTCAGGTGCGTTTGGTTAGCATTTACCCCACCTCCCTCTCCCATGCAAGCACAAGCTGTGTGTGGGCAGGGACTATGTTGCTCACATCTCTATATCCAGTTCCTGGAACAGCATGGCACAGAGGAGATACTCAACATGTATCTGTTAAGTGATTAGCTGCTTTTCTATAGAAGCCTAGGGTTTTCTGAACATAATATACCCAGTACTAGCTTCTAGTTTCTTAGGACACAAATTGCTCATGGTGTCTTCTGAACCCAGGGCCCTGTCATAGCAATAACCAAATACTTTTATTATTTGGCGGTGGTGGAGGTGGGGTGGGGACTTTGGAGGTATGAGGGAATCGCACCACAGTTTGTATGATCTTAGTTCCCCAAGTAAGGATCGAACTCAGGCCCTCAGGAGTGAAAGTGCAGAGTCCTAACCACTGGACCACCAGGGAACTCCCAATAACCACATTTGAAAATGTCTGCTTTCATCCACATACTTGTGTACTTGTTGCTTTAAATGCAATGCTAATCCTTACAGTGGCCCTTCCAGGTGTGATTATGACCCTGTTTTACAGACAAGGACCCCGCCCCCCACCCCCCCACCAAGGTTTAGAGAGAAAAACTAAAATCCTCATAGTTGCACAGCTAGTAAGCACAGGCACAAGCAGGATTCAAGCTGAGCTCAGAGTCCAGGGTCTGAACTCCTTCTAGTCTCCACTCCTCACACAGGGTACATACCCCCTCGCTCCATCCTGGAGGGGGACACTCCAGCAGGCCTGAGCACATAAGAAACCATAAGACCAATGAGTCGCTCATTTCTGGTAATTTTTTTCTTGATAGTAAATAACATGAAATATTTTTGTGTTAAAAAATGTATATTCTGAAGTATATAATAAATGTAAAGAAACATTAAAAAACAAAACACAGAAATTAAAAGTAATTTCATGCCTGTCTCAGGAACTTCTATGGAAAACCACAAAAAGCATTCTTTTGTCACTCTTTCATTTCATATCCCTTTACCTTGCTGCTATATTTTTAAAATGCCAACATTCCAACTCAGTCTTCATGTTCCACTCCCACTCTCCTTCCACTAGAAAAATTCAAATGTTTAAAAGAAATTGGCAGTGTGTCGGCCACCGGCATGTCATTCTCAGAAGCATCAGTCATTTATGAGAACACCTTTCTGGAGGTACAATAAATCTGATTTTTATTACACATCTTAGTTTAGAGTCACTTTTACATTCCTAGACAAAGAGATGATACAAATAAATATTGACTATAAAACTCAGAGCCCCAAGTATTGGCATATTCTTTGTCTAAAGGTAGCCAAAGAGAAGGTCAAGATCAATAGTAACTCCAAGGAGCCATAAAGCCCACTGCCTCCTGCCTGCCCCAGGATCACGTCTTTCATAAATAACCTCAGAAGCATTTCATTCAAGAAGCGAGGGCAGGGAGGAGGCAGGACAGATTTCCAAACAGTACAAGACACAACCTTGTACGACAACAGTAGCCAGGCCCGCTGTTCTTATCCAGGTCCTTCTGAGCATTATGATTATGGCTTTTAGAGTGTATTAATAGCCCCATTTTCGTCCACTGATGGTGCTGAGATGGCCCAAGGTGGTGTTCGCGCTGAGCCTCAACCTCCAGTGGGAAATGTGAGGCTGGACTGATATCCCCACGTTGACAGGGAATGGACACTTCTCACAAACTTGGCAACGATTCTACATTCAGTGAAGGGGCACTTCTAAGAGTCACACAGGAGAGGCAGAGCGTGGCCCGTGCCGGAGCTGAGCAACTCTCTTGACGCCCGTGGTCGCGGAGATGCGGGTGGTGCCTTTCAAGCAGCATGCAGGCATTCGACGGGGAGCCATCCAACGTTAGGGCGGAGTCTTAAGAAAGTGCTTCATGCCTATGATTTGTGGCCTTGAGTTCTGAATCCAGGGGCCTGGGAGACATGGGATTTGAAATCTGAAACCAGATACATTCCTGTGGGCGGTTGCACGTTTGTCTCAAACTCCTTCTCTCGGATGAGATTATTAGATCCTGGGGCCTCGCTGCCAGATTTCATACGTTGCTGCTGACGTGAAGGCCCTCAGAAGGCTTGAAACATTCTAGCATGACTACAGACAGTAAAAACCTGGTCCCTCAGTCATCTTGGTAGGTCTACACCTTTGGCTCAATTCAGAGCCCAAAGCAGCAGCTTCCTAGTGGCAGGCAGCAGGACACTCTACTCTATTTGAATATTTATCGGATCCACTTTGAGAGAAGAAAAGCACCGGAGACTCAACCTCCAGCCAGGCGTTCTTCTACTTCATTTCAAAGACCACCAGATGAACGCAGCTGAGTACAAGGCAGGCCTGTTTTCATGACCCCGCCTGTCAACTCGGCTTACTTCTTTTGCCTTCTTAGAAAAGTTCCATGGTCATTCAACCAACCATGGTCAGAAAAGTCACCTTGAGACATCAGTACTCAGCTACAGGGTTATCTGCAATTTTTAATTCTCAGATTTCCTTGATGGAAATGTTCAGCCTACAGAATTCAGATCAGCTTCAAGGAAATGTAGTGCAAGAGACAGGTGTAACCAGCAGGTCACCATCTTAGGCTACCCACCCCATCATTTGGTTCCTGTTCAAACAGGGACACTCTTAGTAAATAATAAAGAACAGAGTTTGATCCCAAGAAAGATGAGGGATGCCTCCATTATGCTCCGGGAATTGCTGAAAAGGGCCCTGGGTTCAGAAAGAATGGTTACTAAACAGGGGATAAGCTGGTAGATGACAGATCTCCATTTGCAGGACACTAAGACATTGCACTCGGTACCTCCTCTTTCCCACGGGTTCTGATCCAGAAATGTGCCCTGGGAACTGAGCAGCTGAGTTAAAATATAACTCAAGGCCCACTGAGTCGCCACCTTCCCGAGGCACGGTGCCAGCAAGGTGCGCCGGTGTGGCCGACTAGGGACACATATTGTCCCCTCAGGCTTGGCTCGTGGACTCAGACACCCACGTGGGAGCTTCCAGCCTGGATTAGTCATTCAGCGGGCCTTTAATACAGACAAAGGCAACAACTGCACGTTAGTGTATTTCTAAAGTCGGGCAAGTTCTTGGTCTCTCTCTCTCTTACAGACACACACGACACATTCAAAGAACATAGGCACCACTGTGCTTGCACACCCACACACACTTATGAGCTTCTCATGGGGGGAAATGAGTAACATCCACCTAATGACCAACATAAAGCCAAATTTTGAATTTCAATAATACAGAGAACTAAAACTTACAAACCAAACCAGTATATGTAAACAGGAACTCCTAACTCCTCTGAACTATTCCATCACACGGCCATGCCTTGCTACCGTCCCGGGCTCTGCCTCGGGGGAGCCCCAGTCCTAGGATTAGGTGAGTTTCCTGCTGGAGGCAGGCAGGATTCCTCTGCCTCCAGCTGTCCTGTCTTCCTTCGCCACTGCACAGAGCCTCATGACTCCATCCTGGCACCTACCTCGTCACCCCAATGCTCTCTATGCAAGGATGAAACAAAATGGGGGATGCAGAAGTGCCACTCTGTGTCTCATCCCCCCAGCCCTGGTTCCATCAGAGAAGGCAGAGACAGCCTCCCTTTCCCCAAAATACAGGCCCACTGCAGAGCATGCTCTAGAGGCAGAGGATGGGCCCAGGCAGGTTCGCTCAGAGACTGTGCATGGGAATAGATGGTGACCAATAAAGAGCAAAGTGACGCGGCATATGGACATGGCATCAGGTTACAGATTCACGTCTTGGATAAGATGGTCATGGTTTTGAGGTTTTAAAGAAGCTGTTTCCCTAAACTCTCCAAGGAGGCAGAGGAAGTGTTACTTCTATTGCTTCTGACATGGAATCCTTCTGGAGCAGAAGTTGGCAGCTTCCTTGGAAAATATCTGCTCCTCCAGCAGATCCCAAAGGCAGATCCACTTCTTACTGAGGGGCATGAACCGTGCCCCTCAGAGGCTTGGCTCCAGATGAGATTTCTCATTTTCTACCTACAAGAACGAGCACCTGCTCAAGTTCTAGGACTTTCGCTTTTCAGACTCATTGCCACTTTATCCTGAGGCTCCAAAGACTTGGTCTGCTGAGGTGACTCCTGATTTTGCCCTATTGTTGTTCAACAAGAAGGGAGCCCAGTATAAAGAACAGGCTAGAAAAGTAGAGGGGAGAGGATGGGACGGCAAGGAAAAGGAGAGGAGGTGGCAAGGGAGAAGGGAAGCAAGGTCACCGGTCACTCTCTTGCTTTCCACTCCGGCTATCACACTTTACCTTATCCAGGCAGTTCTGAGATGCTAATAAAGGACAGGTCCCAGAGGAGCTGACTGCCATCTTGCGACCAGCATGTTCAACCAGATTAAGTTGGTTCATCGGCAAAGAGGCCATTGCTTCTCCCCAGGGGAATGGTTCTGAGTTTGGGGTCAAGTCCTCTCTGCCGGTTTTTGCTTGTCTCTTCTCCCAGAAGGCAAGGCTGTTTGTAACCTGGGAGAGGGGGAAGTGGCTTTACTTTGGAACTAGCCCCCGAGGCTGTGGATAAAGCTGAGATGCGGGCGTTCCTGAGGAAGAGGAGGAGGAGCCCGACTTCCTTCCACTTTTAGGCCTGCAAGAGTCAAGCACAGATGTCCATTACACATCCCATCACGGTCTCTGATGCAGGTAAGCCTCCCTTCCCATCAGTGGCCACTATGTCTCAGAGTGGCCTTGCCTCATGGACTTTCAATGTAAAACCACCACAGACTGGCACAGCCTGACCCTCTGGGATAGCCAACATGACCCACCAATGGACGGATGACACCTCAGGGGGGGGACTCTGATTCTCAGCAATTGTTCTTCCATTAAAATAACATCTTGACTGTCTTCTCTAAATTGGTAAGAAGGAGAAAAAAAAACAAAAAACTAAGTATGCAGATAAAATGCCTTCCATTTTTGGTTTTGTGCTCAGTTATTTTCCTTTAACTTCTAATTCCAAATTTAATAAGACAGGATTTCTAATTAAGCACCAAATTAAGTGGTTGGTTATTTAAACTGAGCCTCAGAGCCTGGGCTGTGGATGCAGACAGACCAAGGTTAACTCGGGCTTTGCCACTTAGTTCCATAATAAACAAGCACTTTTGCTACCCTCTCCCCTCATCTGTCCTTGTTCAAGCATGTACTGTTCAAACATAGGTGCCCAAAGTCACTCGCCTGGCCTTGGTTTTCTTATGTGCAGTGCTTTCAAAGGATGATGCATCCACCTGTATCTCATCTTCATCCTGCAGAGCCGCATCCAATGCGGCCTGGACCTTGGGGGCAATGGCAGGGCCCTCGTAGTCTCTGGTGGTCCGACTGGGCATGTCCAGCTCCAGCAGCATGATGTTTTCTGCCTGCAGAAGCAGAGCCAAGACAGCTAGGATGGCATCCAATCAGACAAAGGCAGTTCAAACAATCTAAACCCAAGAACAGAACCTCAGATTGCTTGCTACTCAAAGCCTACCAAGGGTCTGTCTAGAAAAAGTGATGTAGTTTTATAACTTTTTTCCTGGTGCCATTTCAGATGACTTTTATTTTACTTTCTATGCTTTTCTCTATTTTCCTTTAAAAAAAAAAAGAATGTGTACTGCATCCTAATCAAGAGAAAATAATAAATTAAGTACAACCCATTTATTGTAGACAGTGTAAAAATACAAAAAGATATGCACAAGAAAATCACAGTCACCAATAATCTCCACACCTACAGCAGCTCTGATGAAGTTTCTGGCTGTACAGGAAAGGAGGTAAGTATGGTGCATATACGTGGAGTGTGTACAGGGGACAGTATATGCGCTTATTATCAGATTTTGAAAATCAGACCAGGCCCTGCCTCATAGCTGGCCTTGTAGATAGATTCCCTCACTCGATATTCCGTGGTGGGCCTTTTCCTAGCTCCTAAACACCAAGCCAAGGGTGACGAGGGAAGAACACTCATGGCTCCACATCTTCCCCTCTAACTCCTCCCACTAGTGGAGTTCAAGCCCCAAGGCCCCGGCGGGGGCATGAGGGAAACCAGCTGGAAGAAGGTTAGGGGAGAGAATGGAGTGGCTCCGTTGATCAATTTTATATACTGAGATATTGCACAACATGTCTCTCAATGGAGCAGGTCCGTTGCTAAAAATCATCTGAGAGCCACTGCTTTAAATTCTCTCTCTGGATCAAGGTAAACCCCCTGGAAACCCACATATCTGATTGTTGGCTTTAAAATCATGTTTTTAGGCTGAAGACATTAAATAAACTGGCAAGATAGACACCCTCCGAAACTACTAGAAAAATGTTTCTGAGGACTCTGACACATCCCTCATCTTCCACGACATAAAGCCACATCTGATAACCTCTTTTTTGCTTTTGTTTTCCTTATTCAGAATAACTCAGTGCCAGGAAGAACGGTGCTTGAAGAGATAACTAGTCCTAATATGCCTTGCTCTGGCTGCCCAGGGAGACTCAAAAACAATTTTTTTAAGTGCCAATCTTAAAATTTTAAGTGACAATCTTTCATCATAAAAGTAATTCAGAGAATTCCCTGGCGGTTCAGTGGTTAGGACTTGGTGCTTTCACTGCTGTGGTCCAGGTGCGAACCCTGGTCAGGGAAACTAAGATCCCATAAGCCATGCAGTGCAGCCTAAATAAATAAACATAACAGAGGTTCCCCATGGATAGTTATAAAAAATACAGATAAGCAAAAAGAAGAAAATTTTAAATGAATGTGCTTCCATTAACCATCAATTACCAGTTCACATTTTGATCTACTTTGCACCCGATTTCTTTAATTCATATATACACTTTCAGGACCAATTGTTCTATAGCTGAGTAATACCTGCATCTCCTGGCTCATCCACTTACCAGCTACCTGAACTTTTAAGCCACAGGACTGACCACACAGACTGGGTGAGACGGCTCAATCAGAGCAAAGCACTGAGTACAGTGCCTGGGGCATGGCCAGTGCTTATAAATAGAAGCCTGTATGGTATTTTTACTGTAAAATATGTTTGCGTCATTAACTAGTTATCAATTATGTCACTTCAAATAACTACATGACTCACACATATTCTGTTAAATGGAAGGACCGCAAGTTCTTTCACAAACCTCCATCTCCTGTTATTAGACATCCTTCTTTCCCGTCTCCCCACAAGGCCATTGTGAAACTCACTATTAATGTGTGTTGGCCACAGAGACTACAGTATGTTTGTACTCTCTCCTTCCCTAGTCCTAATTTTCTAAATCTCATTCTCTTTTACCTTGTTATTTATGATTCATTAATCATACATATTATTTGTTATAATTGTTATTATTAATGTAGCTGTCCTTAGGTCCCTCTTAAAAGTGTCAGGATACAAATTGTGACTTTGCAGATGGGTCAAAGGGTTTACATAAATTAAAACTCCTCCAGGACAGAGAGGAGAGAAACATGAGTACAATCTTCTCACCCTGTATCGAACGTCTGGACGAACCATCATGGACATTCTTGCGTGCTGGCTCAACGGTCTCCTGTATCCCACAGCTGAGACTGGCCGTTTCATCATCTGCTGGTTCCTGGAAATGGACTGTGTGCTCAAGACCCAGGCCAGAGTGTGTGCCACAGTCCCAGGGTTGGGACTGTGGAACCAGCACTCAGAAAATTCTGAGCCTCCTTTAGGTAGAACCTGAAATGGGAAACTCCCTGGACTGAGGGCTGACATGTAAATGGGGCGGGAGCTGCTTATATTTTCTGCTTTAACTGCTTTCTGATTCATGTGTGAGCATCACGCATCTTTCAAGCTGGATGGGCTCTGAGTCATCATCCCGTTCTTAGATAGCAGGCATGAAGCTGAGCTGTCCACAGTCCCCACTCCCACATCCTTGGCAGACTTCTCTCATCTTTCCAGCAGGACCCAAACAGAGACTGAGAATTCTCCACAGTCAGACTGACAGATAAGATAACACCTGTGTATTGCCCCTCCCTTGGCCTGGCACACTTTACTGGACATCTGGGGAGGCTGAAGAGCAGGAACTTGGGAAAGGCCATTAGTTCACTATGATAATGTTTCCCGATTCCTAATACCACACTCGTCACCAAACGTTTCCCTCATGAACTTACAGCAGCCACAAAATCACAGCTGCAATTGGTTCCAAGTTTAAAGGAATCAGACTGCATTTTACCATTCTCCTCTGGCCAAGTCCGGCTTATCAACATTCCACCCCACCCCATTCCCACATTACAAGTCAATAGTGACTTACTCCAGTCTGGTTATAGGATGTAATTTCCAATGATCTTCCTCTTCATCGAAGAAGGATCTATTCATAATTTTACTTTTTTCTTCTAGAGGAATGAAGTTTTCTATAATAAGATGCCTGTAAGAGCACACATACGCAGGTGAATAGATGGACAGAGAACAAGAATGGGGTGCTGCCTATCTGGTCCCACATGAAGCAAGTGATAGGTAAGGGCCAAGTCACTCAACCACATCTACTGAGCAGGTACAACGGGACTACCACCATACTAGGAGCTGGGGTACAGACATGAATGACACTGGCCCCTGCTTGAGACAGAGAAACACTCAGGTATGCTGATAGGTCTATCATAGGAATGGAGAAGGCAATGGCAACCCACTCCAGTACTCTTGCCTGGAAAATCCCATGGACGGAGGAGCCTGGTAGGCTGCAGTCTATGGGGTCACTAAGAGTCAAATATGACTGAGCAGCTTCACTTTCACTTTTCACTTTCATGCATTAGAGAAGGAAACGGCAACCCACTCCAGAGTTCTTGCCTGAGAACTCCAGGGACAGGGAAGCCTGGTGGGCTGCCATCTTATGGGGTCGCACAGAGTCAGACACGACTAGAGTGACTTAGTAGCAGCTATCGAAGGCATATGGAAAGGTCACTTATCCCCAAGGAGTAGCAGCTTGAGGAGGTGGAAGGACTAAAGAGGAAGGGAGGGACTTCCCTGGTGGTCCAGTGGCTAAGACTCCACACTTCCAATGCAAGGTGCCTGGATTTGATGTCGGGGAACTAAGATCCCAGTTTTTGAGGCAAATAAATAATTTTTAAAAATAAAGAGGAAGGCAATGCCTGGGCTATGCTGCAGTGAACTTGTGCTAAGTACTTGGGGGAGGGCCACTGGAACTGCTAAACCTGCTCCTTAATTTCCAAAATGCTGAAAACAGATTACAATTTCAAATGCCTTCCTCCAGTCCTACGGACTGTTGCCCAAGGTGGAAAACTCCACATTCTAATCATCAGAACAAAGAGGAGAACAAGATGAATTTCAGCCCCTTAGACCCCTGCGAATGAAGACCATTCCTGAGAAGAGTCTCTGCCTGAGACGCACCCAGGGAACACGGCAGACAATGAAACTGGAGCCCGCTGAGCTGTGTCTCTCCATGGTGATGACTATTTCCTGCCCCTCTCTGAGCGTACTCCTTCCAGGCCTCAGGACAGAACAATGCCAACACGGGGTGAATGTGGGAGACACACAGAACAAACTCCACAGAGGTCGAGGGGACTATGAGAAACAGGCTGGCTTGCTGTTTATTCAGTAGATATGAATAAGAGACAGAACAATGAAAATGACTTCCTTAAAAAAAAATAATTTGAAGAGATGACATTTTCTCTTTGACTATATAAGAAATGATTTTTCATATATTTCAGTTTCTTTTTTTTCTGATTTTAAAGATCTTATTTATACATTAGAAAATGTGAGACTTTCCTAGTGGTGAAGTGGTTAACACTCTGACCTCCCAATGCAGGGGGTGCAGGTTCGATCACTGGTCAGGGAACTAAGAACCTACATTCCATGCAGGGCCAAAATAAAATTTTTTTTAAAGAAAAGAAAACGTGAGACATACAATTACACACAATTTCAGTACTCAGAGATAGATACTTTGACATATTTTGTTCTGACCTTTTCTAGGTGTACATGCCTAGCAAGAGAACTAACACATATATTTAATTTTAAGGGCTCCTTTCCAAATTTACAACTTAATCATTAAAAGAATCTCTTTGAAAAGTTCTTTTTTTATTATTCTATTTATTTATTTTTGGCTGCACTGGGTCTTTGTTGCTGCAGTTGTGTTTAGTTGCTAAGTTGTGTCGGATTCTTTGCGACCCCATGAACTGTAGCCCACCAGGCTCCTCTGTCCACAGGATTTCCCAGGCAAGAATACTGGAGTGGACTGCCATTTCTCAATGAAAAGTTCCTCTTTAAAGAAAACTTTGAGCAAATGAAGTGAAAGAGTTGATATTTAAAAAAAAAATTTTTAATTTGCAAAACCCCTAATGAAATAATGGAGTTACACAAAGATCACTGTTGGCTGAAATCATTAAGCTCAGTGGTTCTCAAGCCAGACTGCACATCAGTATCACTTACAATATCTTAGTCAGCCCTTGTGATCAGTGATTCTCAAAGTGTGCTCATAAACCAGGAAAAACAACAGCTGGTACTTGTGAATGCAAATGTTCAGGCCCCACCCCAGATGTGCTGAATCAGATTCCCTGGATGTGGGGCCCAGAGATCCACGTTTAACAAGCCCTTCAGATGAACTGGTACCTGCTGAAAATTTAAGGACCACTACCTAGACGAGTGAAATCAGAATCTCTTGGGTAGGACCCAAGTGTCACTATTTTTAAAAACTCCCCCAATGATTTATGTGTGTAATCAAGGTTAAGAACCAGTCCTTCAGAGTTCACCTTCAGTTACAGGAAAATAAGGAAGATAGGGACGCAAGCTAAATGACACCATGAAGAAGCAGCAAACTGACAAATCCAGAACGTGGTATATTTCTCTAGGCTAACTGCCCCAGCCTTTTCAACAAGACAACTATGAAAACAAGTTTCTAAAAAGGAAAGGGGTTGCTCCAGATTAAAATAAGCTTAACAGACATAATAACTAAATGCAATATATAGTCCTTATGTAGATCTTAATATAAATAAATCAAGAAAATCCAAATATGGGTAGGGTATGAGAGAATACTAAGAAACAATGTTAATTTTGTTAGGTGAAAATATATCATTACATCCACAAAAATCAATTTTAATTTTGACACAGTAGCTTTAGAATAAACATTCTGAAAGTAAAATTAAGAAAACAATTCCTTATATGATGACATCAAAAAAATAAAATACTTAGGTATAAATTTAACAAAAGAAGTGCAAGGACTATGCAATGAAAAATACAAACATTTATGATAGAAATTAAAGAATATTTAAATAAATGGAAAGACATCCCATGTTCATGGGTCAGCATACTTAATACTGTTAAGACTCTCCAAATTGATCTATAGAGTCAACACAATTCCAATCAAAATCTCAACTGCTTTTTTTTTTTGCAGAAATTGAGAAGCTGATCTTAAAATTTATATGGAAATGCACAAGACCCTGAATAGCCAAAAGAATCTTGAAAAAGAACAAAATATTGGAGCACTCATATTTTCTCATTTCAAAACTTACTCCAAAACTACAGTAAATAAGACAGTGTTGTACTGGCATAATGATAGACATATAGTTCAACAGAATAGTACTGAGGGTACAGAAATAAACCTTTACAATTATGGTCAAGATTTTCAACAAGGATGCAAAGACAAAGAGAGAAGACACTTTTCAACAAAAGGTGCTGGGACAACTGAATATCCACATGCAAAAGAATGTATTTGGAATCATACTTCAGACCACATAAGAAATTAACTCAAAATGGATCACAGACTAAATGTAAGACCTCAATCCGTAAGACTCTTGGATAACCTAAGAGAACTAAAAATGTTAAGTCCACAATTAAACCTGGACACAAATGTTCATAGCAGCATTATTAACTATAGCTGAAAAGTAGAAACAACCCAAATGTCCATCAACTGATTAATGGATAAATAAAATGTGGAATATTCATATAATATGGTTCAGCTCTAAAAAATGAAGAGCTAACATGCTGCAACGCGGATAACTCCTGAAAACATGTTAATTGAAAGAAAACAGTCACAAAAGACCACATACTATATAATTCCATGTATATGAAAGGTCCAGAATAGGTTAGTTTACAGAGTCAGAAAGTAGATCAGTTACTTATAAGGCTGGGGGAGGAGAAAATAAGGAGTGACCGACAATTGGTACACATTTTCTTTGGGTGAAGGCACACACAAATGTTCTAAAATTAGACTGTAGTATTGATTTTACAGTCAAGTAAACCTAAGTATACATATTTACATGACTTGTAGGGGAGTTCCCTGATCACCTAATGGTTAGGATTCCAGGCTTTCACTGCTGTGGCCCAGGTTCAATCCTCGGTGAGGGAACAGATTCCCCAAGCTGTGCAGCCAAAAAAAAAAAATTGACTTGTATCTTGTATACTTTAAATAGGTGAATTGTATGGTATGTGAATTATATCTCAATAAAGATTTTCTTAAAAAAAAAACAAAAACAACACTGTGGTACATATGTAAGTATGTAGGAATGAGGTAACATGATGTAAGTTTTGCTTTAAAATATTTTTATGAGGGTTAAGTTCTGTGCTTTCACTGAAGGGGGCATGGGTTCAATCCCTGGTGGGGGAAATAAGATTCTGCATGCTACATGGTGCAGCCCACCCCCCTAAAAAAACACAAACAAAAAAACCAAAAGCAAGCAAACTATGAAAGATAGAGGACAAAAGACTGTTTATCATGGCATCTTGGGCTTTCCTGGTAGCTCAGCAGTAAAGAATTCGCCTGCAATGCAGGAAACTTGGGTTCGACCCCTGGGTCAGGAAGATCCCCTGGAGAAAGAAATGGCAACCCACTCCAGTGGTCCTGCCTTCCTGCCTGGGAAATCCCATGGACAGAGAAGCCTTGCAGGCTACAGTCCATGGGATCACAAGAGTCAGACATGACTTAGTGATTAAACCACCACCACCGCTGGGCAATGGATATCTGGGTGTTCCTTATACCATTCAGAAAATTCTAATTAATAAAAGATTCCCTTTCATCAATAGATAATGGCTTCAGGAAGGCAGAGTGGGAGGAACTTGGAGATCATCTGGTGAAGATATGCAGTTAACAGATGGGATACAGAGACAGAAAATAACTTTCTTAGAAATAAACAGAAGACAGACAAGGTGGCGAGAGATAGAGAGAAGTAGGCAGGGGCCCTGTCTTCTGACGGGTTTAACAAACAACAACGCAGCAAATGGCTGGGACGCCCTGGAAGGTCCGGGACTTACTTGAGTTTCAGCTCCCTGGTAAGCTCATTCTGGGTCTGCTCCAGCTCCTGTCGCTCCTTGATATGCTCTTCTTGGAGGTCATGGATCTCTGCCTTGACTGCCTGAAGCTTAGAGAAGAGCTGGAAACAACAGGAGAGGCGGCTAAGCGGGCGGCCCTCTAGACAATAGAGTTCACTCTGTCCCACGCCTCAGGGAGCCTCTGCCTGCCTCACTCCTTTCCTACCTTTTTGAGTTTCTTGGTCTTGATGTCCACCTCTTGCTGCAATGAGCTGTATGTCTCCTTCAGTTCCAAGGTCTCCTCGTCTCGGCTTTCCATCTGCTGCTGGATTTCTCTTTCTCGACGTTTCTGAGCAATGTCACAAAACTGATCAGTGTGCCTACAGACAATGTCTATTCAAGAATATGGGGCTGGGTGCGCTAGATGAGTCTCCCACCAAGAAGGGGCTGACACATGTCCTTTCCATCACCTTTGAAGAGTCTAATAGAAAAGATATTTGCTCTGTAGCATTAACGCACCCCACCCCACTTCATTCTCTCCAAAAAGGGATGACAAGTTACCTGTTCTGCAATTTCTTGCCGTTTCTGCTCCAGGATTTTCTGCTGTTCATTTGTATGATCTACTATATTTTTTCCTCCAACGAGCAGCTTACTCTCCATGGCCTTTATGAGAAAAGAGCAGAATCCATGTCGTGAGTGGTCTCGCTCAGAACATAGCGCCTCACAGGGAAGCCTATGAAAGACAAAGAGCTCCAGACCAAGCCAAAGCAGGTAAATTCTTGGAGAAAATATACTGTGCTCAGCTGGGCCTTTCCCATCACTGGGGTGGAGCTTTGGCGGCTTCACTAGGGCTTTATAATGGAAATACTGAAGACGCAGCTTCCCTAGACATATGTGAATTTCAGCTTTATTTTTTAAAGAAAATTGTTGGTTTGTTTGTATGAAGTACTGACCCCAGTTAGAACCTATTAAGCACCTCCTACATGCTAGGAACTGGGGATGCCACTATGACTATGAGTCAAAAGCTGAGAGTCCATGGAGGGCCACAAGTAAGCAAGTTCTTATCAGATGGAGTCAGATCTTAGCATGAGGAAAAGACAGAGTAACACAGGGAGAAGCACAGGGGAAGGGGGGAATTCAGGCTTTTCCTGAAGGCAGTCAGGGAAAAAGCTTCCTGTCTCAAGGGACAGCTACAAGAGTGCTAAAGTGAAAATAGGAAACAGCTAAGAAAAAAAAGTTGTTTTCAGAGGGTAGGGTAGAGAGTGGTGATACATGAAATTGGCAAAGCAATCAGGGGGTAGTTCAAAAACCTCCAAGCCTTGTTAAGGGAGACTAAGCTTGACCCTGAGAACTGCAGGAACCACTGACGTGTCCTTTGAGCATTAGGATACATAACCAGATCTGTGTTTTAGAAACAAAACTCCCCTGTAACAGGAAGAATAACTGGAAAAGGGCAGGCTGGGTGGAGTGAGAGCAGACAGGAGGCTGTTTTAAGGTTCCAGGCCTGAGCTGGGGCAGGAGAGGTTGGGAGAGCAAAGTGGATGGGTCCAAGAGAGGCAGGATTCAGAGACTGAGGGAGAGTGAGTGGCAGCTGACAATGACAACTCCTAGGAGTCTGGCTAGACTGAGGAAAGGCAGGCTGAAGCAGGCTCTGCATGGCCCTGGGCATCTCCGAGGAAATAGCCAGCAGGCAGAGGCTATCAGCTGGGATGTTAGGAGACAGCTCTGGGCTAACCATACAGACTGAAAACCTTCAGCATTTAGATGAGGGCTGAAGCCAGGGGAATGATTTGCACCTGAGAAGCATGGACTCCGAAAACTCCGCAACCTTGCTTTAAAGAAACTTCTACCCTGGCTGTCATGTTTCAACCCCTGAGACATTCCTCTTCTTTCAAAACGAAAAGACTGGACTGATTACTAATCACCATCCCCAACACACTCCCTTCCAGCTCTAAAATTTTTTTGTCCTAGGACTGTATATCATTCAGGGACTGAGAAAGACAGATGTCATGTCATTCTCCCATAAATAAAACATGTAAAGAGGTCCAGTGACCTGGAGGTGATCTGAGTCTGGCCACATTCGGCTTCTGAGAGTTGCCCAACTACCCCAGGTTGTTTAGAGTCTAGGTGCTCCTGGGCTTGAATAAAAGCTGTGATCTTTAAAAATACCACATGCAGATCAAACACAAGCATACCCAGTTACACAGGGCAGGAGTCAGGAAGGGTCAAGTGACATAACAGAACCCCATAGTAAGCCCCTCCCCAGAACACAGTTACTTCCTAATTGTGTTGTATGTGACTCCATTTTCACATCAGGTCTTGAGAGTCCTACAAAGGATCCCTACCTCTGAAATCAAACAGGACCCAGCTCTCTGAACGAGCTACTATGATGCCACAGATAAAGTGCAGCTTCACACGGTGGGGGAAGGGGAGGCAGGAAAGAGATCATTTTGTCATTTTTTAAAAAATTAATAAACACAGACACGTTTTAGAGTAGAAATCAAAGTTTGCATAAACACAACAAGACAGAACCCAATGCTTCAAGGAAATTCTGGCATGTTGTCAAGCAGTGGTCATCCTCGGTTTTCCATAGCCAGTGCTGTGCTCTCCTCTGCTAGGAAAGCCCTTTGGCGGCCCAGCATCCAGGCACCCGAAGGAATTGGTGCCAGAAAGAACAGGCAACACACAGGCACCTCCACACTCTAGAATTCTACTCAGCCACTGGCACACAGGGCCTGACTGCAAGGGAGCACCCAGGGGTGATTTTGCTTAATCAGGCACCCTGCATATGAAAACCACAAGCAGACAACATTGTTTACCTACCAGACAGACAAAAATTCAAGTCTGCTAATCACGAGTGTTGGTAAGGAGGGGGAACAACCAGGAATCACACCCCCCTGGTAGAAGCATCCACACACATGACCATGTGAGAAAGCTACGTGTTGTTGTCTGGTGAAGTTGAAGCTATACACACCCTAAGACCTGATGATATCAAGCAAGAAACTTTCACTCACACAAGTTCTCCTCAAGTCAAGGACAAGGAATTCAGGGCAAGAAAACGAAAACAACCCACACTATCAAGAGAATGGCATGCCATGGAAATCTCAGGGCAGTAAGAATAAATCACTGTTCTAAGCATCAAAATGGATAAATTTCATTAACATAACATTTAGCAAATAAAAGTAGATCACAGCAGTGGGACTCAATTGATACGAAAGTTAAAAATCATGTGAAACTAAAAAGATCTTTGGGGGGCTCCGTAGCTCAGGGGTTAGAGCACTGGTCTCGTAAAAAGATCTTTGGGGGCTTCCCAGGTGGCTTAGTGAGTAAGAATCTGCCTGCAATTCAGGAGATGCAGGAGATCTGGGTTCAATCCCTGGGCCAGGAAGATCCCCTGGAGGAAGGCACAGCAACCTACTCCAGTATTCCTGCCTGAAGAATCCCATGGACAGAGAAGTTGGGTGGGCTACAGTCCATAGGGTCACACAGAGTCAGACATGACTGAAGCGACTGAGCATGCACAAAATGATCTCTCATGTAGAGATATATATACACATATATACATATTTGGGTAAACTATAAAGAAAAGCAAAGAAAGAATACTAAATCCAAGGTAACAGTTACCTCTGGGGAGGTAGGGGCACAAACAGCTTGTAAAGATACAGATGCTATTCTGTTTCTTATACTGGGGGAGGGAGGGGGGTACATGGATATTATTGTCAAAGATTCTCCAGGCAAGAATACTGGAATGGGTTGCCATGCCCTCCTCCAGGGGATCTTCCCAACCCAAGGATTGAACCCAGGTCTCCTGCATTGCAGGTGGATTCTTTACCATCTGAGCCACCAGGTAAACCCATGAATACTGGAGTGGGTGGCCTATCCCTTCTCCAGGGGATCTTCTTGATCCAGGAATCAACCCAGGATCTCCTATATTGCAGGCAGATTCTTTACCAGCTGAGCTACTAACTAGGGAAGCCCCTGGGCACTGAATATCAACATCATTCCTCATATCATTTTTTTTGATAAAACAAGAAAATTAGAAAGAAAAAAGAAAGGGCCTAAGGCAGGGTACAGTACCTTGATTTTGGCCCCGAGCACCTCAGCAGCATCCTTCTCCCGCCGCAGATCCTCCATCTTTTTCTCCTTCTCCTTCAGCAGCCTCTTCTTTTCCTCTGCAACCAAGCTGTGGTCCTCAACAATGGCCCGCTTCTCGATCTCCAGTTTCTCTTGCTGTTCCCGCCAATAATCATCCTTGTCATCCCCTTCCTCCTCCCCCTCTTCTCCCTCCTCCTCCTCCTCTTCCCCACCCCCAGCCCCCCTCCGCTTCTCTCGCCTCTTCCTTCTGCCAATGGACCGTTTCTCTAACTGGGCCTTGAGCCGAGCAATCTCTTCCTGGAATTCTCGAAGAAGGGCGTCCTTAGGGTCCTCGTTGACCCTTGGCTTGTTCTTAATGTTTTTGGCACGGTTGGCATATCTTAGAGTGGTTAGGGTCTCTTCTACATTGTAAGAGGCAGGTCCCACGTTGGCCACCATCACAGTTTTAGCATTACCACCAAGAGAATCCTGGAGGAGCCTGGTAAGCTTGGAGTCCCGATATGGAATATGAGTGCTTTTTCCATCCACCAGGGCAGAAATGACATTACCCAAGGCCGAAAGGGACAGGTTGATCTTGGTTGCTTCCTTCAGTCTTTCCCCTTGCGCACCGGTCTTGGCCTGCCGTTCACTGCCAGCAAGATCTACAAGGTTCAGTTTCCCAACCCGGATGTGGTTTTCACCGTCGAGGCCCACCTCACTGCATTCAATGGTGATGACAAAAATTGCATGTGAACGGGAACTGTGCTCATTCATGTTGGTGGCCCCAACAGAACGGTTCTGGTTCCCCACATTCATCACATGCTCTATTTCCTTCACGCTCTTGGTAACGAAGGAAGACAGGTCTTTCACGTACACCCCGGTGTCAGGCCTCTCCTTGAGCTCGAGCCTTTTGGTCTGATCCTTGGAGAGCAGGTCTCGGATCTCCTCCTGGTAGATCTCCAAGTAAGAAGCCCTGACCAAGTACTGTTGATTCTGGGATCGAGAGATATGGGTGAAGATGTGATCAAACGAGTTAGGGATGACCCCTCTTTTTTCAGGGTCACCCCGGACTCCTTCCATCGTGTAGGTTTTCCCAGTCCCTGTCTGTCCATAGGCAAAAATTGTCCCATTGAAACCCTGAAGGACAGAGTCCACCAGTGGTCGGAAGGTCTCATCATAGAGTTCAAACTGTTTGGCGTTCCAGTCATAGACAGCATCAAAAGTGAAGGTCTTGGGCATTTCATGGGCCACTCCCTTGGGGTTCTTGACAGACACCTGCCCTAGCTTCACGTCCACATCCACCACCTTGTCATATGAAGCAGCCTTTTCCTTGCCATTCATGGGCCGACAGCGAACCACCACCCGGACTGATTCTGAGCTTTTCAGCTTTGACATGATGACCTCTGTCCAGGTCACTCTTAAGGGCTATGAATCCAAAAATATCTCAGGATGCTAGGGTCCTAGGGGGAGGGGGGGAAAAAAAAAAGTAAGCAGACAGTATCTGATTACACACCCAGGTCACCTCCATCTAGCCAACCGTCTGACAGCCATACTTAATAACTACTACAAATGGCTATTTCCTCATGAGATCTTAACCAGTTGAAGAGGGAAGAATAAAAACACTATTCCACCAACAATGTTAACTAGCTTGTCTACTCTTCAACGTATATTTTATCCTATACTACAGGTTGAGGTGGCTGGAAGCTTTACAAAAGCCCAAGTAACCTTATATGCTGTGGAACTACCATAACCTCTGCATAGAGCCATTTGGAGCTATCTATCTAAATTTAAAATGCAAAGCCCCTCTGATCTAGCAGTTGTATTTCTAAGAATTTATCCTTCAGATAGAAGGATATCTGTTGTGGCATCATCTGTGGTAGCAATAGATTGTGGACAAACCCAATTCCCATCAAGAGGGGCTGATGAAATAAATTTAATATATACAGTGGAATCCTGTGCAGTTGCTAAAAAAAATGTGCTAATCTAAACATAATCCTAAACCAAGATATGCTGTTAAGTGAAAAAACCTGGACAAGGAATAGTATCTATAGCACAGTTTACATATGCATGCTACAATATTAGAAGCATACATGTAAAAGTGGTAACAGTGGCAACCTCGGGAGGGGAACTATGGGCCCAGAGGACACTCAGAGGTCTAGAGAAAGAAAAAAAAAAACTTTTCCCTATACACTCATTAGTACTGTTTGAATTTCCTATCTTGTACTGATAATACTTTTCCATTCTAAAATCAACTATGGCTTGTGCAAAATGTGTTCAAATAAACAAGGATGTGGGGTAATGCATTACAAAGAAAGCACTTATCCAGTCAATAAATTTTTAAAAATTTGAGTGCAAATAAGAAAATAGATGTTAAGAAATTTTTAAGTAAAAACAAAAAAGAACTTCCTTTGGTGCTAAAAACTCATGGAGCAGAAGAAAGGATGTTTAAATGGGTTCTTTGGGAAGGGGGAGGGAGCAAGCAAATTAGAGCAAAGAGATACATATGATGACATTAAACTCCCCAAAACCTCAAACCAAGGGTTTTTAAAAAAACAGATAATTCTGACTTCCCTGGTGGCGCAATGGATAAGAATCTGCCTGCCAATGCAGGGGACACGGGTTTGATCGCTGGTCTGGGAAGATTCCACATGCCACAGAGCAACGAAGCCCATATGCCACAACTACTGAGCCCACGCTCTAGGGCCTGCAAGCCGCAACTGCTGAGCCCTATGAGCTGCAACTAACGAAGTCCATGAGCCTAGAGCCTGTGCTCCACAACGAGAGATGCTACCACCATGAGAAGGCTGTGCTCACGACAACAAAGACCCAGCACAGCCAAAAATAAGTAAACAGGCAAAATTATTTTTAAAATAAAAATTATTTTAAAATATATACATTTTTAAAATTAAAAATAAACAGGTAATTCACATGATTCTTGATTCAAAAGGTCCTTTGCTGACAGGTCCCTCTCCCTTACCTGTTCTTCAGCCAACCACTTCCCTGCTTACAAGGCAAGTATTATTAGATTTTTAATCTTCCTGAATAAGTTTATGCATAGCAAGCTCATATGTATTAATGCACACTTATCCTCTCTTTTTTTACACAAGTATAGTATGTAATACACAATACGCAGTGTCCTGCAGCTTGCTTTTACTTAACAACCTATCTTGGAGTTTGTTCCCCTCAGTAAATGCAGAGCTGCCCTATTCTTTATGACAGCAGTAAAACATCCCTCTGTATGGAGGCACTGTAATTTATTTAACCACTACCCTAGCACTTAAGCTGTTTCTGATATTTTACTATGAAAAACCTAGGACCACATCCTTTCATGTATGGGGAAAAAAATCTATCTGGATCACAGGATATATGCATTTGTAATTTTGATAGATACTTAGAACACGAATTACAGCATTCATTGAGTTGTGAGACTGACCTATACCTTGCCAACAAAAGGCGGAAAAATGTATAGCCGTGATGAGTCATTCTAGGCATATATGCTGCCAATTAATAAACACAGAGTTATGTTCCTTCATTGATCTTTCATAAAAAATTGTTCTGTCGGTAAGTAAGCACATGGAAACATGAGATGCTACTTTTCATAATTCTTCTAATTGTTATATGTAATAAAATAATGTTCTCTAAGAATGAATAACCACAAGACCTCTTAGCCTCCCTGCATCAGTGTTTTTGTAAGATCTGTAAAACAGGGATAATTCTCCTTCATTTTGGATGATTGTCAGACTAACAGTTACTTATAAACGTGGAAATACTTTGTGAACTAAAATAAAGTCAGATTAAAATTAACTAATATAGGGACTTCCATGGCAGTCCAGAGGTTAAGACTCACTGCAGACAGTACAGGTTCAATCCTTGGTGGGGGAACTTTTGCTCACATGTGACAGCATGGCCAAAAAAGAAAAAAAAGTTAAAACAACTGCATCCAAAACCTTTGTCAAAGGGTTTGAAGATTACTGGTGGTGATGGTGGTGGTTTAGTCATTAAGTTGTGTTCGACTCTGGTGACCCCATGGAATATAGCCCACCAGGCTCTTCTGTCCATGAGATTTTCCAGGCAAGAAAACTGGAGTGGGTTGCCATTTCCTTCTTCCAGGGATCCTCCCGACCCAGGAATTGAACCCGTGTCTAGAGCATTGCAGGCAGTCTCCAACACTGCAGGTGGATCCCTTATTGCTGAGCCACCAGGGAAGCCTAATTTTATGCATTAAATATCACTAGACTACACCATGGAATATTACTCAGCCATTAAAAATAATTCATTTGAATCAGCTCTAATGAGATGGATGAAACTGGAGCCCATTATACAGAGTGAAGTAAGCCAGAAAGATAAAGAACATTACAGCATACTAACATATATATGGAATTTAGAAAGATGGTAATGATAACCCTATATGCAAAACAGAAAAAGAGACACAGATGTACAGAACAGACTTTTGGACTCTGTGGGAGAAGGCGAGGGTGGGATGTTTCGAGAGAACAGAATGTATATTATCTATAGTGAAACAGATCACCAGCCCAGGTGGGATGCATGAGACAAGTGCTCGGGGCTGGTGCACTGGGAAGACCCAGAGGAATCGGGTGGAGAGGGAGGTGGGAGGGGGGATCGGGATGGGGAATACATGTAACTCCATGGCTGATTCATGTCAATGTATGACAAAACCCACTGAAATGTTGTGAAGTAATTAGCCTCCAACTAATAAAAATAAATGAAAAAAAAGAAAAAAGAAAAAAAAATCACTAGACTAATAGTTTCTCCTGTTCAATTCGTAGTTATCATCCTTAAAAAAAAAATCAGTTCAAATTGAGATCCAAATACCTAATCAGTGCTCAACTGTGGTGGTTTGTGGTTTAGTCGCTAAGTTGTGTCTAACTCTTACGACCCCATGGACAGTAGCCTGCCACGCTCCTCTGTCCATGGGATTCTCCAGGCAAGAAAACTGCAGTGGGCTGCAATTTCCTTCTCCAGGGAATGTTCAATTAAAAGTAAATATCAAGTCATTTAAAGAAAACTATGTAAAAGGCAGCCCTTCATTCATAACCTTCTAGAAGCTACTAGAATTTTGCCGGATACTTAGAATCAGATATCAGAATGGCCAGGTTGCTGCGTCTCCTTTTCTTGTCTAGGGGAATGGCCCCCAAGCTACAGCTATGGCTGACCCCTTGCCTGACTCTCCCTCCACTTCAACAGAGGCCTGCCAAAAGCTCTCTGGGTGCCAAGCCCGAAGCCCAGGCCCCAGAGCTTCCTTTGGGGAGGTCTCTGCTGTAGTACATCGGATGGTTAGACAAGACCTGAGACTCCAAGGAATAAGAAACAGAAGAGGTGGATGGGGAACAGGTCACTGGAGAGGATCGATTCTTCTGCATTTCATACCCGGGGAGAGGTTTTACCTATGAAAGCAATGTGACCCCAAGCCTCTCTAATAAAACTAAAAAGCCTGCAGCAGGCTTTCATGCAGATCTTGATGTTCAGCTACTTCTGTTACAGCCCTGTATATTTTTGAGTTCTCCAAAACAATAAAAACAAAGGAATGATAATGACCCACAGTAACCTTGAAAAGCTTTTAAAAAGAAGGAATTCCCAAAGTCTGAGTCCACTTAATTAAATCTCCTTGACTTGGAACACAGAACATCATTTCTTTTCTGAACTCACTGAGCTTGGCTGAACTAGTCATGTATTACTGACATATTACTTCAGGAAGATGGACTAATTTAATTTCCTGCCACCAGAGCTTAAAATCTTGCTGTGGGTCCTCCTCAAAGGAGAGGGTTTTCTTGGAAGGATGCCCTGATAGTCTTTATTACCTTCCTCCTCCTTCTTCTGGTCTGTCTAATTACAGTGATAAATCTTTAAAGGAACTCACAGCATTGCCAGGAAAGGAGAAACCACAGGTCAGCAGCTCAGCATCTTTATCCCGAACACCTCTTCTGCTTGAACTTGTCATCCCATTGTTAACAACCACCATTAGAATGGCTACTACATGTGAAAGATTGAGTCTTTGTCCAACTTCATCTCTTTTGTCTGCTGAGGAAATCAGTTGCACATTTCTCAGGGCAACCACTCTCTTCCAGAATCTTTCTTGTTTGGATTCACCCATTCTCACATGTGTTGTCAAGGAGTCCACAACAAATTCTAGAACTAGGTGTGGATTTGGATTATCAGTAACCAGTGGCTTCCTATAGAGATTCCAGAACAGAGGTCACAAACTGGTCACATTCTACCTGAAGCCATTTTTATCTGGCCCAACCGTTGTTTAAAAAAACAAAAAACAAACCCCCCAGCATTTCTACCTCTGTATCTGTATATGCCCTGGTGAAAAACCTTTGCACATACGTACAAGGAAACACGGAAAAGGATGCTTCCGGCAGCATTGCTAAAATAGTAGAAAACTGGAAACAATCTAATCATCCATTTATAGAGGAACTGAAAAATAAAAGATGGTACA